CTTTGGGTGATTTCCTAGGCAGTGTGGATTTGAAACATCCCACACACAGAAAGAAATTGAATCCAGATCTCCCAGGCCCTGAAGTGAGATCTCTTGTCACTTTGCTACTGCATAAAGAGACACTGCCCCCTCCACCCATCTTTTTTTAAAGAAAGGACTTGCCTGTCCTTTGAAAGAAAGGGCTATGATGTTCAACTGGATGAGAGAGTTTGAGCATATGCAGGTCACTCCATCTTTCTTTCAAATCAAATGGTGAGCTCTTTTCAGGCATAGATTCTCTTTCACTCTGTGTTTATCTAGTGCATAGTACAGTGATATTCTTATCTCAGCTGGGCCTCTAGATGGAACCATAATACAAATAAGTAATTATAATAGAGGTTCAGTGTATGCCAAAAGACTCTAAGAGAGGTCCAGGACAAAAGAATAATTGGAAACATAAGTCAAGTGGAAAACTAGTAGGTTCAGCTTCTCTGATCTGAAATTCAGATAGAATACAGGATAGAGGGATATCAGCCATAGTTTAAAATGGGTGAAAGTTTTCAGCAAATAATATATTCACTGTTTTAAAAAAGCAGTATTGGGAGGACTGAAGCTATTTGAAAATTTGATTCAAAACTGGCAAGTTGTTTGAGCCTAAAAATAAAATTTATATTTCAAAAAATGGTATTAGGGTTGGAGTGTTGTTGTAGTTGGGATGGTCCAGGAAGTGTGTACAAGAGGCAAGGATTTTCATGGTATCTTTTACTGAACCAAGTTTATCATTTGGGGATTGGCTGAACAAGCTTTTGGACATCAAGGGCATATCCACGCATGCAAGCATGTGCGCTTGCAGCAGCTCAAATAAAAGCAGTGCAAATTTGAGCCGGGGCTTTTTGCCTCAGCACATGTGCCTGGAGATGCACTTTGGTGCAGGGCAAATTGTGCCACTTGAGGCAAAATAACCCTGCCTGGCTCCTCCCGGATCTGCAGCCAGGGGGCGCTAGAGCCCAGGGCCAGCACCTGTGTTGTCCCCAGCAGTATAAAAATTGCCCTGTGCTGGCCCCAGCAGTACAAAAGCTGGCCTGGCAAGCAGCTTAGGGCTACTTGCTCTCAGGAGCTTCTGGGGCACAGCCAATTGGTACCTGGGGACACTACCCCTTGTGCCAGCTGGACTGCTGAAGCAGCCCTGAGAGTTTCCTGCGCCCTCTACCCACTGCAGCAGTCTAGCAGTAGGGGCTGCTGCCTGGCTATGACTTGCTGCACACCTGCCGGATCCGGATGGGAACTGCACAGCCACTAGAGGCATCTGCCCCTCTGGGCCAGCTGCCAGTGGGCTGTGGCTGCAGGGTTGGCCTTTTGTGTGGCACTACTGCCATGTGTGCCCCTTCCCCGCCATCTGGGCAGCTATCGCCTGGAAGATGTTTCGGGTGTGGTTGCCTGCTTTGAACTGTCAAAGCATGTCCTCCTGGCCCCAATTGGCCAGGAGGTCAGCCACAGCCAGCTGGGTCCAAGGTGCCAGCTCTGAGCAGGCTCCTCTGCCTAGGTCCTGCCACTTGCTTCCATAGCAGGAATTCTGGTGTTCCCTATTTGAAAACTGAAAATCCCTTAATAAAAAAAAAAAAATCCCAAAATCATTCTGTAAAATACCCCAAAATCCACATTCTGCCACAATTAAAACAAAAGACCACCAAAGAGAGACAGAGAGTGAGAGACAGAGAGACAGCGATCAGCTGGGCAATGTTTTATTGATATTTCTACAGTGTTAAAGCAATTTAGAATTCTTCCAGTGTCTCTATCATCATAAGAAAATGAATTCTAAATACCTATATGTTTTGCTGTTTGCCTTTGGCTAGAGCTCCCCCTGACCCCTTCACTAACCAGGATGTGGGGACAGCTGCCCCTGCAGCCACAGCTCCCGCCAGCAGGTCTCATCCTGTCTGGCAGCTGGGCATGAAGGGTGTGTGCTGGGGGGATGTGGGGTTTGCAGGACAGGGGTGGGAAGGGGGGTGGGGGATGTGGGTAGCTGTGGAGGGATGTGGGGGGATGTTGGGTGTGTGGGTAGGTGTGGGTGGATTGTGGGGGGACTGGGCAGGGGGGCTGCTTAGGAGGAATGGGTCCCCTGCCCCCCTAGGT